GATCAAGTCGGGTCTGAATCCAATCTTCTTCACTCAAACCAGCATCTTTCATGATTCTCAAGGAGGGAATCTGAACCTCGATAGGTAAAACAGCTTCCATGTCGTATACCAAAGAATATGGTGTTGCCCCAGTTGATGTCTGTGCCGTGGTACGGTACCCGTGCAGAGCAAACGGCAACATCTCATACCAGTCCTTGTAGGTGACTGTCATTTTTTGAATGATCTTCTTGATATTTTTGTTTGCAGCTTCGACAGCACCGTTCATCTTAGGTCGATAGGGAGATGAATTGTGATGTTGAATCTTGAACTGCTCGCATAGAGCGGTGATCATAGTGTTGTTCGGGTTTGTACCGTTGTCAATGATAATCCTGTCAGGGATACCATACCGGCAAATGAGGTTCTGCTTGATGAAGCGGGCAACCACATTCTTTGTAACGGAGGCGAAGGAAGCTACTTCGACCCACTTGGTAAAGTAATCAATGGCCACCAGGATGAAGCGGTGTCCATTGGTTAGTTCAAAATTCCATGGTATGATGTCATGATGTTATGTGCAAGTAAACATATACACACAAAGCAAACAAGTCCTTAGGTTTAGGCTTGCATGAGGTTCATAGGTAAATACCCTCTTAAAGTTTAGTTGGTTCAACCCGTCCTAGAAAGTAACTGGGTTCTAGGGAATCTCAATATCACTGATATTTATTCATCGGGCATTATTTCAGCACAAGCCTCTTTATTGGCGACCGAAATATCCCGAAAGTCCAATCTCAATGAGCATAGAACCGAGTATCAACCAACTTCGGACTGCACCAAAGCCGACTATTTCACTACTTCCTAATGGCCAAGTTGTTCAATTAAAGGTTCTAAGGTCAGTTAGTGCTTCATGACACCACACAGCGGCCCCATATTCTCCTTGACTGGACTCAAGGGATACTAGTACCAACAAATGTGTCACACTAACATAGCCATCGCTTCAACCATGTTAGTATACCCCGTACATTCCCCACGATTTATTTCTACTTGCCTAATAATGTTCCCCGATCCGGATAGAGGATCAATGCAAAACCCAAACAAGGACCCAAAATGTAAAGCAAACAAGTAAAAAAATAAAGCATTTTAAATATGATCTAGCTCTAAGGTAACCCCTCTTTTAAGAAACATCCTTCCCAGCAGAGTCGCCAGTTCTGTAATACGGTGGGATAACTGACTTAAGTGTTTTGCATTTTATTGCAATTATTGCGGATAACAAGAGTCGCCACCAACTTTTCTTTTATCCAATAAAGGAAAGGGTGAAAAGAACGGGAAAGACCTTTTGAGATATCTTCTTGAGTTTGAGGGGTAGCTTATGAAAAGGGAAGGTGTTAGCACCCTTTTCATTTGTAGTTATCTACAGGCTCTTAGTTGTTAGCTCACTTTTGAAATGATTTGTTTGAAATGTGTTTGTGATGGGTTTTTGAAAGTTCCTTTGCTTAGGCGAACTTTTGTAATAATTCGCGTCTCTATAAGAATGTATACAAAGTGATGAATTTTGAAAATATTTCATGGAGAAGTGTTGTTGTATTTCAAAGATGTTTTGAAATGTAGTAAGCAAGCAACTATGAACGTTCTACCTACTCAAAAAGTCTTAGTTCTTTTCCTCCTCCTTTAGATATTGCTATCTTACCATTGATTGATAAGAAGCTCTATTATTGGATGTGACGGGATAGGCGCGGGTCACTGTATAGTCATAGAAGGCAATATTGTAGGATACCTTAGCAATTTTTCGTAAGGGACTAAGATCGTTTTACAAAGGCAACATTGAAGGGTCATCGAGGGACTACGATCTTGTATTAGAGGGTCATTGCTAATGTATCCCACGTTCGAGGGACATGACTATTTTTATTTGAAGCAACAAGTGTGGGTTACCCTAGAAGTGCTAGTGTGAAAGTGTTTTGATTTCAAGCATTTTCATCTTTGAATTGGGGTTTTCTACTTGCTATTTTTATCTTGCCATACAAACCCTAATTACAAGCATTTATATTTGAAAGTGATAAATTGCGGAAAATAAAGATTCTACGCTATTACATCATTTAGGGGGTGAGGATGCAAATTATAAATGGGGATGAAAGCAGTTAGAACCTAATTACTATTACAATCAAATTGAATAAAAATAAATAATAAAAAAGTCTCAAAAATCAAGATTTTTGGTGTTTAGGCTGACACTAGCCGTGTCCTGTGACACGGGCACCCGTGTCAGGACCTTGTCCTGCCATACATGCCTTTTTTATTCCAGCTGAACTGACACGGGTCGTGTCCTGTGACATGGGAACCCGTGTTAGAACCTTGTCCTTCCATTTTGCCAAGTTTTAATCCCAATAAGAGGGACACAAGCCGTGACCTGTGACACGGGCACCCGTGTCAGAACCCTTTCTTGCCATTTTTTCTGTTCTCTTCTTGGCACGGCCCGTGTCAGGTGACACGGTCGGCCTTGTCAGACTTCCAGAAGCATTTTTCTATAGTTTTGAGTGTTTGCAACTCTTCTACTTTGATTTGTCCTATTTTATTCTTTTGAAAAATGAAAATAAAATGATATATGAACAAGGATATCACAGTGTCGCACGCGTCGTCATCGACAAAGACGAAAAGATGAACGAAAATGCAACAGTAGTGAATAGGAAAAGAAATGTAGCGGTAAAGATCTGAGATTAAGCCATCAATTGACTTATCTCAACACAATGAAGTCGCCTCCGCACTTTATTGTTTCCAAAGGGAAATGGAAAAAAGCGAACAAAACCCACAATGAAATAAAAGATCAGAGATCGAGGTACAGGGGTCGGTTATGCAAAGGGAAGGTGTTAGCACCCTAAGCATCTACGATATTCTGCAGGATCCACTTTGTTTGGTTTCTTTTAAAAGGAGTGTCATGTAAAGGTTTACTTGCTAAAAGAAAAGAATGAATGTTTGCAAACAAAAGAAAATGAAATGTTTTTTATTATTTTTGTTGCTCGCCTTGGGTCGTAAGACTTAGTACCTACGTACTCCCTCGTGCAATGGGAAAGTCAGAGCACCGTAGTTTGGCTAGAAAAGACTTGTCTGTTGATTGATTTTAAACAAAGAGACAAGTTGACATTGTTAAGAGAGAAATCTCGACTAACGCCCACAAGGTGTGGGAAAGACGGACCCTGCGTAAGCAAGAGTGAGGGTTTGAGAACGCCTCTAGCACTCAAGTGGAAAAGTCAACACCTTTATAACCGTGGGGATAGGAGAATGTTGCTCGACTATCAATGAATCATGTCTCATCTTGAAAAAAGGTTTGAATGGGTAAAGGTGCTCGAGCGTACAAAATTGTTTGAATGAGTTGAATTGTTTTTGTTAATTTTGAAAGATGTCGAAGTATGATTAAGTGAATTGAAGTTTGTTTAAAGAAAATAAGTTTTAAAAGAAAAGTCACTCGACAAAGTCGAGGTTTATTATGGAAGTGATTCGATTTTATAAACAAAGAAGATTTTGAAAAAGATGAGAAAACTTTGAAAATTAAAGAAAGGGAGAAAAGAATGTCCTATGTACAAGAGGGTAAAAGATAAGGTAAAGAGGATTTGACTGAATAAGAAACCACTACTTGACATGTGAAGTCAATACCGTATTCTCATCCCTTTGGGTTTAAAGCCACATACAAAAAAATAAGCTAAGAATATACCAAACCTCAGGTGAAAATAAATCACAAGCTGACAGCATCAAAAAACCCAGATGTAAGATAATACTCCAAGCGGTGAATAAAGATAGTGTAGCACGTGAAAATAAATCACGGATGAAGAAAGCATGGATAAAGCTCACGGTATAAGATTCCCTGCATCACATGAAATATACAGACAAAACTAACAGCACGGGAAAACTTATGTGCGTCCGTACGATTTTCAACAGTTAATTTGGATTAAAAATTAAAATCGCAACACGATGAAAATAATATTTACATAACCTGAATTTATTTACAAATGAAGTGAATAAAATATACATTCAAAATATTATGTACAAGTATATATTTACAGTACCAAATATTAAATCAGAAAAGTAAAATACAATAAAAAATGGAATGAAGAAAAGGTATTATGGACGCGCTATGTGGGAATGAATTGCTTGAAACAAGTATCAGAAACCTTCACAATAACAAACGCGTTAGTAGCATAAGCCGTATAAAAGTAAAATGAAGGAAATTGCAACAATGATAATCTATGTTAGAAATCAAAAAATAAAGAATTGAAATGAAATTGTATGAAGGCACATGAATATATACACAAATAAAAATTAAGAATTTATGATATTATTCAATGTAAACACAAAAATCAGCATTGCATACATGTATTCCATCAAGTAAACTCAAGAGAAAATGCTATTTCAAACCATAATGGAAAACAAGAATCAAAAGTTCACATTGCAACGTGAGAAATTGAATTCAAAGCATGAACCAAGTTGGAATTAAGCCATAATCGATCAAATTTAAAAACCGGGCAGCAACTCTATAAAACTATTATGTCCCAAAATTCCAATTCAAACATGGTTTGTAACAAAAGGAAATAGCATGATATAGACACTCAAAACAGAATTTCCAATGACCACACTTAAACCAAACGAACAGGATGTTATCATGATAATCAAAACCAACACGGTATTAAAGCGATACAACCATGACAAATGCAAGTTAAATAAAATTTCAGCATAACAATGAAACCAAAGGAATATTGAGCATTATTTTTTCACAATTTGCCACAGCACAACCAATTTTTCCATATTTAAACTCAAGAAAACAATCATGGAAGCATAACGGTTTCCTACTCAAACAGTTTTCACATGAATTATAACAATTATCACAGCATAACAGTTCTCACTTAAAGGAAAATTAAACATGACAACCTTTTTACAGAGTTAACACAATGACATTTTAACACGGAAAAACGATGTAGAAATTACCAAGCGAAGGTTGATGATGAATATTGAGGAAGCTTGTAGTTCACACCCGCAGAGCCGGAATGAAAGGTTGTTGGACAACACTGTTGTGGACGGGAGGGTAATGCGATGCTGAAGCTTGCAATTGAGAATTCGAAACGACATTTGTTGAGAGTTGAGTTGCAGATGTGAGCGGAAGGGGTTTTTGTGCGTTTGCAGAATAAAGGGAGTTGGCCAATTGATGTTGGTGTTGAGCTTACTGCTACTGTTTTGAGAGGGAGGGCGTATTGTGGGTAACCGATGAAGGTTGCGAATCAGAAGGGTGTTGTTTGTGTGCAGAGCGAAAATTGAACAAAGGAGGATGAAGGTGATGAATTGGAGGAGTAGAGGGTTGGAAGGAAATGGTGGTGGTGAATTGAAGGGTTACGGTGAAGTTACCGGTGGTAGTTTAGTGGAGGTTGACGATGGATTGGAGAAGGGCGATTGGGAAGGAACAGTTTGCAGCTAGCGGAAATTGGACAGGGGAGGTTGGGTTGTTTGAAGAAGAGGAGTTGATTGATGGAGATAGGTGGTAGTAATGATTGAAGAAGTGCGTGAGAAGATGAAGGGAGAGGGTGAGATGCTATGTGCGGCGCTGTTTGTGTGTGTGAAAAGAGGGATAACAGGGCGGTGGCTCGGTGAATCGGATAATGGGGTTACAGATGGGAGTTCACTGTGATGAAGATGAAATTGCTGGTTGTGTGGGTTAGCGGAATGGGTTGTGAGGGAATGATGATGGATGATGAACAAAGGAAGTTGCAGAATTGGGATGAGAGGAAGGAGGCAGGTTTCTGGATGGAGATGGGTTGAATTTGTAAAAAATGGAAGAAGATGAATGATTTATGAAGATGATGTTTTGAGAGGAATTGAAGGGCGGAAGATGGATGAGTTGCAATGATGTGGAAAAGTAAGAAGGGTATGTTGTGCATGATGCTGGGCAGTTAGCGCACAGTGAGAGAGGGAGGAATTTGTTGTGAGTAGAAACAGAGGTGGAGAAATAGAAGTTGGGAGAGGGTAGATGATGGATTACTGTTAGTTTTGTTGTGTTGATTGAGAAAGAAAAGATATAGTTAAATAGAAAAAAAGAAGAGGGAATTATTTCAACTTTACAATCATATCCGTTCATCCATTTTCAATTTGGTTGGCAATTTATCGATACATAACTGTTGTCAACAACTAATAGGAAAAAAAGAAAAGTGTAATAAACATTTTTTTGTGACTAAAAAGCCCCTTAATGACAAAAATAACTAAAAAATTTGAAAGTGTTAAAATTAATTCAATTTAAAATAATTTTTTTAAATTTTTTCTGAATAAAAAATAAAGACTCAAAATGATTAAAAACGATAAAAAAATGGACGAAAATTTATCCGAAAAAATGAAATGAACACATTAAAATAAACTACATATCACAAAGATTAATGAAAAAATATTCAAAAAGTCAAAAATCGAAATAAAATGAGAATAAAAATATCAGGCTGAACAGACGTTTACGGTTAAAAACGAGACTTTAAACTGTGCCGAAAAAATAAAGCGAGCATATTGTCATAATCTACGCGAAACGCAGATTCATAAAATGACCACTAAGAGGTAAAAACTTCAAATATTTTTCTCGCTAATTTTCCGCACAGTGTCGAATCGCTTTTAACAATCTGTCTGTAATACCTAAATATTAATATTATCAACATATAAACAACTTGGAGCAATGCAAGAAAATAGTAAAGAGATAAAAATGCATGAAGTGAAATGTCAGGTATTTTTCAACTACAGAATGATGCAAATGTCGATTTAAACAAACTTTTGGTCAACTTAAACACGATTAAATGATGCAAATGTGATGAATGAAGCTATCTATTAATGACTATGACTAAATGACAAAATATGATATGAAAGTGCGATTAAAAAAATTAGGGGCGAAATTTAGGGTACAACACACAGTTTGAGAAAACCTACCTTTTGAAGTGAAAACTCGAAATGTGTATGGATGTTTCCAGGTGCAATGTGATGATTGATTGAGCTTTCTTAGACCTCGCTGAAGTTGTTCCAATCTTCACTTTATGCTGAAAGTGTTTGAATCTCTCCAACCAAGTCAACTTGCAAGACAATGTTTTTTGAGTTTGGAAAGTGGAGATAATGATGTTACAGAAGTTGTTCTTATGTTTGAACAACTTCTATATGATGTATATAAAATGTGTGGATGGTTTGTTTGGATAGAAGTGCAAGGTTTGAGAGATTTGAAGATTTTGGTTTCTAAGCTCAAGAGTGGAGGTTTTGTGGACAATTATGGTTTTTTTTTAGAGTATGAGGGGTTTTGAGAAACTTGTCTACACAACTAAAAATAAATCTTGGCTTGCAAATGGCCTCTCTATTTATAGAGGAGGTTTGAGAGAATGAGAGAGTTTGTTTTATAAGGTGTCAAAATTCTGGTTTTTGAGATGAAACAACCAAGTTATTATGAAAATCGGTGTTCCAATGCATGGTACAAGCATGGTCTGAAGTTGCTAGAGGCTTTTAGGTATGTTACTTCTTGCTTTGGCATTATGTATGTGCAGAGAAAACAATTGAGAGGCTCAAGGAGTTGACAATTGCATAAAGCTTGCTTTATGTGAATGGTGTTGTACCCCAAAATTTGCCCTCCCATATTTTTCAAGGTTTGTCAAGAATCATCTTCAAATGGTTCAAGGTTGCTCAAGAGGTAGACAGGCAAATCACCTCCTAAGACAGCTGAAATTAGGGTTTTGGTTCTTTCAAGGAATTTGAGGTTTTCAATGGCTCAATCAAGTCTCATATGCCTATAAACATTCTCAAGCATCTATATGCCAAGTTTCAAGACTCACAGTGCCAATTTGCACAATCAAAAGCTCCATTTGACCTACAATCAACTACAAGGGCAAAATGGTCATTTTGTAGTCAAAAGTCAAAAAATTTGGTCAACATCTTATTTTGAGTTCACAATCATCATTTGATCAAGTATTTATCATGATTCCACAAGAGTAGCTCAAAAATCAACAAGATGCAAAAAGTTACTATTTTTGGACATCAGAAAAGTCAACTGTATCTTGACCAGGGCATAACTTTTTCATGGTTTGTCAGAAAAATTCCATCCAATTCTCATTTTGAAGGGGATGATATTTCCTACAATCCATCTTCACACTCCAAGTCTAAGAAATGCTCTCAGAAAAAGTTATCAATTTCTACATTATAGGTCAAATTCAAAAGTCAACAAAAGTGCACTTTGAGTCAAAGGCCATAACTTGAGATTGGTAAAACCAAATGACATGGGACCAGAGGCATTGGTTAGAGGACTTCAAGACCTTTCCAAAATGTCCAATAACATGTTCATATGATCAAAATTGAGCAAGATGTGCATTGGAGAAGTTGGGAAATTTTTATGAATTTGCAAAAGTCAAATTTGCTCAAAACACCTTATTTTTGCTAATAGGCCTCAAATCTCTTCTTGAAACTTCATCCATGGCCTATGCACGACCCATCAAGCTTAATTGAATTTATTTTCTTATTTTTATTGATTAATTGGATTTTTAATTAATATTAATTCATTTAATTAATTTAAATTGTAGGAAAATGCAAGATTGGATTTTTCAATCAATTTGTGAAGCAAATATGGTCAAGATATGCTGGCAATTTCATGCTCAAAGTCAAAGATACAAAAAATCCAAAATTGGCAACATTTTCCAATCATGAAAAATCAAAAATATTTGATTTTCAATCAAAGATCTAATCATCAATGCAATGGATTCTTGCTCAAGTTTTTGACCTAATCCGTTTCCTCTATATATATGCAAGCAAATCCTAACCTCATAGACGTGAGAAAGCTGCAGAAAAAAGCCATAGCATATTGAAAGAATTCCAAGAAAATTGAAAACTGGTTTTTGTATTCTAGGGCGATTTAAGAGTTTTTATTGATTCCAATACATTGCAGGAGATCCCAGGAAGGTTTTGCAATCAAATTCAGACCTTAAAGCTCAAGAAATCACTGAAAACAGAACCACGGTTTGCACTTATTTTCCAAAATCGTATTGTCGAATTCATGAGCATTTAACATGATTTCTTGATTGTTTTGCATTGCTAGGAACCATATGAAGCTAATGGTATCATTTAATTGAATTATAATGCACTGAATCACAAGATGCCATGAACGATTTCTAGGGTTCTTAAGCTTTGAAATTGGGGCTTTGCAATCCAGGAAAAATTAAGACTTGTGAGACCCATGGTTGGAATCGTTAGAACAAGACGAACAAAACCAACCCATCGCGAAATATTTATATGCATTGAGCTGCTAATCGCTATTTTTCCCTGTAATAGTTTGTGGGGGTTAAAAACCCCCGCTATCTAATGTTTATTCTTGCAGGAACAATGAAGAAGATGATGAGGTGTTGACACTCCATTGGGCAATTTGAAAACACGCGCGTTTTTGTTATAATTTCAGCATATGGTTTATTTTCTTATATAATTATTGCGCTTTATGTTAATAACAATTGGAATGCATTGGCTGAGTGGCAGGGACGCGTGCATATGATCATTGGGACCTGGGTTCGAATCCCAGGTCCCCCAAAATCCTTGTTATTATTTTCTTGTACATATTCACATGCAAATCTCCAAAAGAAGTCCATCATATACCTCACATCCCAGCGCGCCAAGTGGCCTCAAACTCAAATCCCATGGCCTAGATTGAAAGACTAGCATATTCCTTGGTCAACCAGCGCATAGATGATCAGGAAAGTCAAACGGGCTGGCAGCTTAATGGGCCACAAATTGCCAAAGATACCTCCTAATTGGGCCAACACACCCCTTGGGTTTTATTTCCTTTTTTTTTCTTCTTTTATATTTTTTACTTTAATTGTTTTTACTATTATTAATTATTATTATTTTCACTAACAAAAATAATTAATTATTTTCATAATAAAATCAGAAAACTAAAATATAATATTTTTTATTATTATTTATTAAAATTAATTTCACCCTTAATTTATTATTTTGTAAATAAATACTAACATAAATTAATTTAGTTAATTAGGTTAATTTTAATATTTTCACAATAAATAAAATCAATGTAGAATTAGGGTTTTGACAATTTTAATCCTTTTATTTTTACTTCCTTTTTATTTCCTTGAAACATAAAAAACTCAAAAAATATTTCTTTTTATTAATTAATTAGTTTTAGGCAATTTAATATAATTCATGAATAATAAAAAACTTCCTTCTTTCTCAAAAAAGGGTCAAAACCCTAAGAACTTCTCCGATTTAATTTTTCCTCGCGCATATTACTCTTGATTCTTTTTGATCAATTATTATGTAATTGCTCCGAGGATGTAATAGCTTTAATTAGGATCTTTTATCACTTTTATTTACTTTTTTCGCAATTTACTTTTCAAGGGTTGTTTTTGGCGATGTAAATACCCGATGCCTTGTAATAGCGTAGATTTATTTTCCGCAACTATTAACTGTTAGATG